TAGCTTATCTAACTAGGATGGGCATCCAGGTGGTTTTCAGTCAAAAGTTTTGTTTTATTTTTTAAAAAAGCACTATCCTCAAAATATGATTCTTAAACGTTCAGGATTTTAGCGACTTATTTTATTTATTTTTTATTTTTATTTTTTTGTGCTTTAGATGAAGGTTTACAGAGCAAATTAATTTCTTATTAAACAATTAATACACATAATGTTTTGTGACATTGGTTGCCAACTCCACAACATGTCAACACCCTCCCCTTCTCGACCTTGGGTTCCCTATTACCAGCTTTCCTGTCCCCTCCTGCCTTCTCGTCCTTGCACCTGGGCTGGTGTGCCCCTTTAGTCTCATTTTGTCTTATGGGCCTGTCTGATCTTTGTCTAAAAAGGTGATCCTCAGGAGTATCTTCATTACTGAACTAAAAGGGTGTCCGGGGGCCATACTCTCAGGGTTTCTACAGTTTCTGTCAGACCAGTAAGTCTGGTCTTTTTTTGTGAGTTAGAATTTTGTTCTACATTTTTCTCCTGCTCTGTCTGGGACCCTCTATTGTGATCCCTGTCAGAGCAGTCAGTGGTGGTAGCCGGGCACCATCTAGCTGTGCTGGACTCAGTCTGGTGGAGGCTGTGGTAGTTGTGGTCCATTAGTCCAAGTGACTTATTTTTATTGTTCACGATTATTTGATGCCAACAGTATTCCTCACAGCCCTGGAGCATCTAACTCAAAGTTTTATTTCCATTTATCTACAGGCCCTTTGTCATCTCCGGGAACCAGAGGCAACCATCATTACGCCAGCTTGACCCATGCGCTGCAGACACAATGCTGCATTTATTCTCCCAGTAGCTGGATGGGCCAACAGTATAGACCCTATAGTTTCTTTACTAAATGTAAGTAAAATGGCCAGAGTTCCCGCTTCACAGAAGAGTGAGGAAAATAAAAGGTGTTTTCTGCATTTTAACTTTCCTTCTTTTTTAAATGAATTAACACTTTCGTGATTAGTTTTTGATGTACTGTTAAACTAAAAATATTCCTTCCTGTCCCTCCTAGAATTATCTCATGTGTTACCAGTGTCTTTGTACTGTGCTTGGGAAGCACTAGTTTACTTTAAAGGAGGCCTGGTAGCACACTGGTTAAGCACTCGGCTGCTAACTGAAAGGTTGGTGGTTTGACCCCATCCAGTGGCTCTGCAGAAGAAAAGACCTGGTGATCTGTTCCCATAAAGGTAACAGCCTAGAAAACCCTATGTAGCAGTTCTACTCTGTCAGATGGGGTTGTTATGAGTCCGAATCGATTTGACAGCACCCAATAACAGCAACAGTTTACTTTAATCCCCTGATTGAGGCACCTGAGAATGGTGCCCGAATCCCCTGCTGATTTAAACTCACATCTAGAATGTCCTCCTGCTATTTTCAGAGAGCCCTCGTGCTGTAGTTGAGGAGATAGGACATCTAATCAGGAAAATACGATCTTCAGGAGACATTGCTTTACTAAAACGACTCCTATTCGTGGTAGTATTTGAAAGAGCCCAATCTGAGCGGAAATTAGTTCGTCAAGTAATAAATGGAGGTTGAATTCACAGGTCAGTATTAAACAGATTGAAAGAAATTAGGACTATAAATCCAGCTCGTATTCATTTTAGAGTATTCGGTAAATACAGAAAGTAAAAAAGAAAGAAATCACTTGTAATCCTGCCCCCCTGAAATCCTGGCGTGCCGCGTGTGTTGTGCAGCGGTCTGTGGTACGTCTGTCTGTGTTGGTACATTGACTTTCCCTGTGCATTGTTGTGACTGGACAGTGCTCTGGTGTGTGGGTACAGATCACTGGAATTTGGAAGTCTCCTGGTAACTGTCATTTGTGTAGTAATGCAGAAGAGAGTTAGGATCAGCTGGTGGGGGGATTACGGGTAACGTAGGCTTAGTTGTATCTGTATATTTAGGTGCAAAGAGAAAAGAGAGGTGGAGGCAGAGTTGGGGCCATTAGCCTCTTGCCTTGGTGCTCTCAGGCCCAATTTTTCCTAAGAGCTGACTTTGTATTTTAGGAGGTGTATCTAATTTAGCAGCCTTGGGAATATACGTATATGTATATCTGTGTGTGTGTTTATATATATACACGTATACATGTATATACATACATGTGTACACACACACACACACGCATATATATAGTAGTTTTTTTCCCTGTCCTAAAAAAGCCTTCTAACTCGCCTTATTCTGGAGGTGCCCCTTTCCCTCTGAGACCCTGTCTCCGCACTGCTACCCCACACTTACCCCTGATCTTCTCCGTCAGCCTGTGTTCTTCCTCAGTTCCAGCCTCTGTACTCTTTCAGGTTTATTGCTCCCAGGTCACAGTGAGATTAGATCCGAGGTGGCGAGCTCCACTGAAACTAGGACGGGGCCAGTTTTTGTTGTTTCAGTAGGAAATAATCTTTGAATTTCTAAATCTCCTCCAAGATATAATAAGAAAAACATGGCTTTTCAAAAACTCATTAAGATTCTGTAAGAATATTTAGCATTGTACTTGTAAACATGTCCCTCTGTCTTAGAGGGTCCACCTTTAATACCTGTTCATCCAAGTTAGCAAGCAGTGTTGCTGAGCATGACTAAGAGTATATGAAATTGGATGCTACAGTGGATTCTATATGTCTAAATAACATGAGCTTTATTTTGCATAACTCTGATAGTTAAAAAGGATCCCTGGTGGTAGAATGGTTAAGCTCTAAGCTGCTATCCGAAAGGTTGGTAGTTCAAACCTATCTAATAATTCCTCAGGAGAAAAGACTAGACAATCTGCGGCTGGAAAGATTACAGCCTAGAAAACTTATGGGGCAGTTCTGCTCTGTTACGTGAGGTCACTGTGAGTTGGAAGTTGACCTGACGGCACTCAACAACGTGATAATCAAAAGGTATGTTTATTAACCTACCTACACCCTTCCAGAAAATGACAGACAGAATGAAATAATAGTAAGTCTATTCTAAATATCATTTTAAGTTAATTAGAATCTTAGACCAGTAGTAACATCTCTGTCAAAACAACTTAATTCAATTTGTAGCCATTTAAAAAAAATTATGTTCCTCATGGTCTCAGGGAACATCTAGCTCAATTGGCATAACACAGTTTATAAAGACAGTGTTCTACATTCTACCTTGGTGAGTAGCGTGTGGGGTCTTAAAAGCCTGTGAGCAGCCATCTAAGATACTCCACTGGTCTCCTTCGTGAGCAAGGGAGAATGAAGAGAACAGAATACAAGGAAAAGATTAGTCCAAAGGACTAATGGACCGCAACAACCAAGGTCTCCACCAGACCGAGTCCAGTACAGCTAGATGGTGCCCGACTACCACCACTCACTGCTCTGACTGGGATCACAACAGAGGGTTCTAGACAGAGCTGCAAAAGAACATAGAACAAAACTTACACACACAAAAAAGACCAGATTTACTGGCCTGAAAGAGACTGGAGAAACCTCGAGAGTATGGCCCCCAGACACCGTTTTAGCTCAGTGGTTAAGTCACTTGCGAGGTTCACCGTTGAGCCGGGGATTGGACATCCCCATAAAACAAAACGGGACTAATGAGGCACAGCAGTCCAGGGTCAAGGACTAGAAGGCAGAAGGGGACAGGAGAGCTGGTGATAGGGAACCCAAAGTTGAGTAAGGACAGTGTTGAAATGTAGTGGGGTTGTTAACCATTGTCATAGGGCAACGTGTACTAACTGTTTAATAAGAAACTATTTTGTTCTGTAAACCTTCATCTAAAGTGAGAATAGCAGCACCGCTGGAAGAATGCAGTGGATGTCACTGAACTGCGCATGTAGAAATTTTTGAAATGGTGTATCTTTGG